TCGTCATAGCAGCCAGGTACATTAAAATACAATAAAATACAATAGAATAAAATACAACAATAGAATAAAATACTTAGATAGAAAAGATAAAAAAGATAAACAAATAACACTTCTGTTGCTCAAAACTAGTTTGTATGCATCTCCATGAAGTTGAATGGCATAAAAGATGAATGGGTTGACTGTTTTTTAGTGAATTATGAGGGGAAAAAGGTAAATAAATGCTAAAATAAAAAGAAGTAAAGCAACCCGGCAGGTTGGGTCGTGTCCAGTCGGGTTTGAGCAGAGAATCAAAGCTCTATATGGAACTCTACACATTCATGTTTCCATTTTCTGAGTACTTCAAGAGACTTATTGCCCAAATTAATGTGAAAGTTGAGACTGAAAGTTCTTTCTTGACCTCAAAAACAGCCAACATTTAAATACTTGAATGTATTCTTTAACAAGGACAACAACACTAAAGTTCCCTGAAGACTCAACACACTTACATTCCCTCGATGCTGATGTTGAAGCCGGATAATTAGCTGGAGTTAAAATTCCCTTGATGTTGATAATGATTCATCCCTAGGGCCCCTTTAATTCCAACTGTTGCGTATGAGGAATATGTCAATATTTATCCCTACTAGGTGACCATAGGGACATTTTCTTGATTATTATTGCAGATTTACTTTTCTTAATAAAAAAAACTAAACTAGTCAAACACAGACCAAACAACAATGGCCTGAGACAAAAAACTATTTTGTTCTATCTTATGTGGTCCACTGGAGTGGTTATCTTATTTGACTAATAGTATATATATAATGTTCAATACACATGTGTAATGTGTGTGTGTGCATGTTTGATCCTTTTACATTATTTCAGGTTTCTATATCAAACATAATTGGTATCCTGTAAATTCTGAGGTTTAATATAATTAAATTGGTAAATGTGCATACTTACTGTACCAATCATAGGTCAAAGTATTGCTAAATTAAGCTTAATTGTAAAAGCCAAAAGTGGTACTAAACAAAGAGCCATTTGGGAACCGAAAGACTTTTCTCTTATTGGGCCAAGCCAAATGATTTGGCTCACTAAAAAGAGACAGAATTCCCATCACTATTAATAACATGTGGTGTACCTCAAGGCTCATTCATTGGACCTCACAGAAAAGGGAATATGGCTGTTCAGGAGAGAAAATAGAAGAAAATGGGCTCTCTGCATAACTGTTCTACCAATGTTATGTTTACAATGCCATCTTTAAGATTTACAACAGCTGTGTGTTTGATGGGATTGTTACAGCAATGCCTAACTGCAGAGCTATCAAACTTCCTTGTTCAACTTTTTCCTCACTAGTTGTTTCTACATTTTAGCTCGTTATCTTTCTGAACTTTTGATCCCTGGTAGGATAAGAGCCTGCACACAGCTGGAGGTCTCGGATTAAAGTGGAAGGATCTCCGTGAGCAACACTGGATGGCTGAGTCATTATGGTGATTACGATTTAAAATTCTTATTTCATGTTCCTATTGCCTTATAAGGTTTATTTGTCACTATGTCAAGTTTTGAGCAAATGGAAATTAACATTTTTATGTTATAATATGAAGGCATCACTGGTGTGATGGTAAATTATTACTGCTTTTTATTTTATTTTTTACATATTTCTGTGTTTCACTGATCAGTCTTTAATTTGATCTATCTTGATTTTGAAACATGTTTGTTCTGAAAACTATTACATAAACATTTCACTGACTATAAGTGATAAGTATGATGATGATTATTAACAGCAGAAGGAGAAGTATTTCTGTTTTTATTGGTCTTACTATTTGTATGTGCCTGACCTCTCGAGCACAAGTCATGCTCATTCTTCATCCATTTTTATACATATACATACTATTAGGTTCACATGTAATAAAATGGAATCTAATACAATTGCATTACAAGAAAACCTGATATTTTTATTTTTTAATTACAACCCCTCATGCATTCAAATGGGATGGAGTAAATATTCAAATCAAAACACTATCCAATAAAACACCACCACCATAAATCAAAGTCTCCCTGACAAAGTCAACACATATCTGGCTTTTGTGCCCTTCTATGTAAGTGAAATTATGTTTTCTGCTGAGCTGAAAAACCTCCCCAGACTGCAAACAAGGAACACAAAGTAACTTTGTTGTCATTTTAAAAATGTAAATGCATTGATTGTACAAATTTTAACAAACGTTTAACAGTGTTTGCTGACTGTTTCTTTATCTAGAATTAAAAATAAGCCCTTTAATAATGCCTGTCAAGTTGCATTCATAGTGACGTAAAAAGTGAGATTTGTTTGAAATTCTTCTGCAAGATCCAAGAAAATATGACTATAATGGTCAATTTAACCAGGAGCTTTCACACATTAAAAAAATGTATTTTTTAAGACTACATACTTTACAAATATTTAGTTATTTGTGGCCTTTGGCTCTTTTTCATATGAAAGTAATTTGCTTAATATTTTGACACTGATTCAAATTTTGTACCCATATTTTAATATTTATGTGATACATATATTATTGTTATTATTGTTATTATTATTATTATTATTATTATTAGTGCACTCTTTACTCTTTTTGTCAACATAGAGATGACTGATACCATCGGGCTTTTTATTGGCTGAACGAATAAAGGCTTTAAAAGCATGAGCATGAGCCACAGGCAAATGGTTTCATCAATAAGATCTGATTGGGCCTATATATAATACTGTAGACTTACCGTGTTGAAGGCGACGCAGGTTCTCCATTCAAAGTGTAGCTATTGATAACACGCCTGGGATAAATGAATTAGCAATATTGAATTTCATGGAGTTTGAGATGCATGTTTCTTTCAGAGAAAAAACTGTAATTATGTCACTGATATTGACATTGAGATTAACTTTTTCTTCTGGGCGAAATTAGGCAGCTTATTGGACCTGATGCTGAAAAAAAAAAGATTATTACCCGCAAATGTTTTTGAAAGCAGTTTGACACATTTCATGGAAGCGGCCATTTGTGCCAATTTAACAGAGCGCATTCATATTGCATTAAAAGAGACAGCGCAGGTCTCTTTAAATTGCCTTTTCATAATGAACACATTTACCGAGGGTAATTAATATATAAACTATCTCGATTTGTCACTTTGATTTGTATTTTAGTTAATTGTGAAAGTAATTACAGAGCAAATTAACAGCTTTCAGGAAAGACCAAGGTTTTAGGGTCCGGTTCCATCTTGGGTGCCTTATTAATTTCTCTCCCCTAGATGTGATGAAAAGGAGCTATAAATCTGGGTGATCGGTGAAGGCCAATACTAAATGGCTCCATATTTCACCGCTGCTTTAATAGAAATATTCATGCGGGCCCCTTAATGAAATTAAACCCGCGGTGGGGACAAGGCGCAGCTCGGCCGTGTGGCGATCAAGACTCAGGCTGATATAATAATCACGCAGAAGGCTGATAAAATGCGTTTAATTGATGAGAGAACTGCAAAACAACACTTCCCTTTTCGTGACTCGTTCCTGCTAAACGTCCAGAGGTGAAGATGTTTATTTAGCCCTTCACAAAATCATAAGTTTTAAATAGCTGCCTCATCCTCTCTCAAGGCGCGTCCAAATTGGATATTATCCATTTATATCATTATAATTGAGAGTAAGGGTCAAATAAAAATGACCAGAAACACATTTATGTTTTTTTTTAAAAAAAAAAGCTAATTTCAGTAGTAACATTAAGGACTATTTGTCAAAGTACACAAACTGGAGACCTTTGCATCTAATAATTTACGAACGAGGCAGTATTTGCATCGTTTTCCCCACAAAAACAAGCTGGCAAAAGCAAATCAGTGGATTGACTTTCTCTCTCTCTCCTCTCTTTCTATTTTTTTCCCTCGTTTCCATGCAGGCCAACATCCCACCCACATCAATCTCCCCGTTATCATTCTGTAATTGGTCCTGATCATCAAGGTGCACAATTAAATGGCGATCCTTTACTTGAAAACTACCCGGTGACTTGTTGATTTCCCCCGAGCAAATAAACGTCCCAGGAGCGTGGTTAGCTGATGAATTGACAAAAACTAATCAGCTTTATTGGTAGACAGGTTAAGGGCAACTGGGTGTCAATAATTCTCATTTTGACCTCCTCTTCCATTAACTTTAAGTGGCTTATTAGACCGAAGTCACCCGGAGCCACGGGCCTATTAGCTCGCTCCCCTCATCACACTTTCGGGCTTTCAATTACAAAATTTCTTGCTGTTCGTTGCGCAAAGGTTGTGCCTGGATTTGACTTATTTTGACTTTGCCCCTATATTTTTGATTTAATAAGGAAAATACCAACAATATTTTCATTACAGGGGCGAAAACTTGACTCTTTTTGGACAAACGCCGTTTCTTAATGTACGAAACTGCTCTGGCTAAAGTCTAAACATAAAACTCGGTTTGCTGAAAACATCATCTTGGAAGCAATGGAGCTTCTGACCTAATCAATTTGGTTGTACAGCTCCATTATAACAGGCCAGCGTGCGTCTGTCACCTTCAGGTTTGGAGAGCGACAGAAGGAGGGCTTTTACTTAAATTTCCCTGTTGGCCTCGCAGGGGTGGTTCGGCTCAAGATGTTCACTTTGGCGCAGGCTTTCTCTTTTGAAGCTGACTATATATGTATTTTATTTGCTATCTGAATTCAGTGAGTGAAGATGAGACTGATAACCTTTCACATCACCTTACAGGCTAGGACTGAAATTTAACACTTATCCAACATGGTTTGACCTTAGTTTAATTGAATATTTCCTATTTGGTAGATTTTAAAACATTTTTTGTTTTTGTTTTTTTTATTTTCAGGTTAAAAATAATCCGTAAGTATCTCCTACCATCAGATAATCCATACAGTTTTAAAGATAGATCCTCCAATTCTGGACTTACACAATAAAGAGAAATAGTCTCAACCCATTGCATTTTTTTATAACAAGAAAAATATAAGTGTAAAATGAAATTTATTTATTAAATGTGATTACATAATGCGTATTCTGGAGTGTTTGTGGCTACAGATGTTTAATTAAACGTTACTACACCTGCTCCCGTGACCTTGGTCAAATTGCTGATGTACACAGAAAGCCAATCCCCCCAAAAAATATATACATCAGGAGCAGCACCCGTACTCCTATAATAATAAAACGATAATAAAAGTCTTCCTGATGCCACCTTGGAAAGGTTTGCTCCATAAGCCCCACTGTTAATGAATTATATATGGGCAAAAAAATAATATCCACTTACAATTGATCAAAAAACGTAGGTTTCAATTCAAACGTTTGCGTCATTTTCGTATAATAGCAATATTTTATGAAAGCAATAAGGCAGCCAACGCCGTGCTTTACAGTGATTAGAGCAGAGAGGCGTTGTTAGCTCTGTGACGCTTGGGACAGCCCCCTACCAGACGGCTGCACCAATCCCCTCCATCGGACAGGGATTAAGTGTCACACAGAGCTCCTCTCTCACACTCCGGACCACATCATAACTTTTGAAAGGTGGGAAAACGCCACTGACTTCTCCTTCGTTTAAGGCAGCAGAGGCGACAAGGACGCGCACCGGGGGCCCAATGGAGAAATCCAAAAACTTTCGCATTGACGCGCTTTTAGCAGTCGATACACCCAAGGTGCAGACCTCTCCGCTCGCGCTTGTGACTTCCCTGTCCTCCTCCTCCATCCCGTCGTCTGGAAGTGTGGCAGCCCCGGAGCTGAGCACCAGCGCCGACTCTTTACGCACCGAGACGCCGTCTCCGCCGAGGATTTCCACCTGCGGGTTGATTCCTAAACCGGGTTTCCTCAACAATCCGCACAGCATGGTTGGATTACATCCGCAGAGCACCGCAGGGATCCCCGCACAGGCTCTCTACGGCCACCCCATGTACACCTACTCCGCAGCTGCCCTCACAGGCCAACACCCTGCCCTGTCCTACTCCTACCCACACGCCTCACATCATCACCACACCAGTGATCCCATCAAACTGACAGCCAGCACCTTCCAGCTGGACCACTGGCTCCGGGTCTCCACAGCCGGGATGATGCTGCCCAAAATGTCTGACTTTAATTGTAAGTAGCTGTTTCATCACAGAGTGTTCTGTCGTATTTCTGCCATTTTTCACTCCAAATTAATATCATACAGTGTGTTGGTTATGTATGGCGACACAGGCTGATGGTAACCAAAAAATAATAAGCTTTATGCGTTATTAATATGCTACCAAATATCATTAATGAATATCACGTTGGCCTACATGATGCTGCTTCAAGACAGCTTCTGCTACTGTGCTAAATATTCAGATATACAAAGGCATGAAATTCTTATTTTACTTCAAAATAAAGCTCTCTCAGATATTATGGTGGTCTGAATGGAGAGGCTGTCATGGAGTGATGGTTTTTCTAAGAGGAACTAAAATGGACAGATAATGGACAGTGGGAAAGTAGCAGAGGAGTGTGAAACCCACAGTCGACATGCTATTTGCTCACCAGATACTGCCTTTTTGTTTCTGCTCGTTTTAACAGATTTGTTCAAAACGCAGTGGCAAATAGCTTCTCTATGGAAATATTCATATGTGGACGACCTTGTTGCTTAAGCAGGGAGCAAATAAATGAAGAAATGTATATTTTATTCCACCACAATGGTATTTAATTTGACGGCTGCTTCTTAATCCTGTCTTTCAACATTAAAGTTTTGGATTATTTAATTAGCAGTCATAAACAGGCTGTTTGGTTTTGGACATTCACCTCTTAATTTAGTATATATAGATATACTCAATGCCTGAAATGACTGAAAAAAGGTCTGTGTTTAAGGTGCATGGAATTTATTGTTTTTCTTTCTTGCAGCTCAGGCGCAGTCCAACTTGCTTGGCAAGTGCAGAAGACCAAGAACTGCATTCACAAGTCAGCAGCTGCTGGAGCTGGAGCATCAGTTTAAATTGAATAAGTACCTGTCACGACCGAAGCGCTTTGAAGTGGCTACGTCCCTCATGTTGACAGAAACTCAGGTAATGTTGTTGTTTTTTTTAAAGGCACAAAATTTACCAGCAAGTTAGTTTTTAGTTAATTTACTGAAAGTAATTGAGACATTATCTCATTCGTCTTAGTCCAGATGCATCCTCACTGTTTTATATATTGTCCAGAAGTAGTTTTCCTTTCACTCCAATAATTTTACCTTTGAAAATGAAATGGCATTAAGACCATCCCATTGATATTTTGTTTGCATTTGACTCAGTGGATGAACAAAAAAAACCTGAAATAAATAACCTTCAAAACATGTTTTCAGTTTAAGGTAATTGTAACAGCACAGAGGTCAATGTCAGGTGGACGTGCAACCTTTACGCAATCTTTACGCATGGTTACGCACAGGTAGCCTCCAGCTTTATACGTTCAAACCAATTAAACTAAGTTACTTTTCTTTCTTCAGGTGAAAATCTGGTTCCAAAACAGACGCATGAAGTGGAAGAGAAGTAAGAAGGCCAAAGAGCAGGCCGCCCAGGAGGCCGAGAAGCAGAAGGGCGCCAAGAGCGGCCAGGAGAAATCTGACGGACTCGAACAGTCGGACTATAACAGCAAGACAGACTCAAAAAATGGCAGAATAAGAGACTTTAGAGACAGTGACGACGACGAGGGCGACAATTTCCTGTACAACTCGTCAGACTGCTCCTCAGACGACGAGAGGAATCACACCAGTGACATAAGTCCACAGCCTTGAAGCCGAGGAAGGGCGAAGGTGGCGAACTCCATTTATAATGACTGTGGGGGATTTTCGCTCTAAAATGCAGTTGCATGTAATTCAACCTCTAAATCACCTCCATGGAATTAATGAGCATTTTTTGTCATGAAAATAATTAAAATTTAGGTCAAGAATAGACGATCTTGGAGTCATAAACAAGCAATAAAGCAGGAGATTTAAGTTTTCTAATACACGTACAGTAGGAGCATCATTCAGCACCCGGCTATTAGGTAAACTGTGACATATTGCTGCATGGTTTATATGCAAACGCTGTAAACTGGCTCAGGACTTTGCAACCTGCTGTGATGGTTAAGTTTGTCAGCAATAATCGTTCAATAATATCCTTGTAGCTCTCACTGCGGTAAATAGTCATTTCTCTTATTCTGGCCTTATTTTGTTCTTTGTGGTGTTAAACTTCTGTAGTGAGTAATGTCACGCTGGAAAAAAAAAATGTTATGTTTATTTTTCTATACTGTATTTATAAAAAATGGTCATACCAGTGCATGCTAAATTATTGTTTAGCGTCTCTCTCGGTGCAAACAATGTGAAATAAAAATGATTTTATATGAAACTCAGTTGGCATTTTGGCGCAAGTCTTGTGGTCTTTTCTTTCTTTCTATATATATATATATAGTGTGTTGATTTACGATGAAGTCGCGGTGTTTCAGCTCGGATGCGGACGGAGGCTTGTGTTTTTCTCCTTGCTCTGACAGCTCGGGTCATGGGAATTACTGTTAATAGCGCTGTCGGATCTGTGCAAACGTGCAGTGAGAGCAAACAGCGAGTAGGCAGTCAGACGGAGGAAACATTTCACACCACACTAGCAATGGGCTCGCATTAATAAACGTTTAAACGGCTCGTTGGGCGACAACTTGGGCTGCTCAGGCACTGTTTTCAGGGCTTTAATCATTTTGAACGCATTTTGCCGAAAGAACAACTCAGAAAATATTTTAATTGTTTGGTTTTTTTTTTTTTTAATTGGGAAAAGTTTAAATAATATTCTACTTATTTCTTACTAGCCTACAAGTTTTGTGGCCAAATACAGACCTCAGCATACATTGTCAGCTCTTATTTTGTTAGGTTTTTTATATGGTATTCATTTGAAAATTGGGATGTAAAAACGTTATCTGCCAGTTGATTTGAAACCAAAAAGCAATGGGATTGTAAACATAACACAGATGTAAACCGGCTATGCATTTAAAAAGAAAGAGTGGACATCCTCAAAGCAAAGAAAACATCCCATCATCCTATTTTTCCTACCTACACAAAACATTTATTTATTTAGGGTGGTTCATTTCCTAATATGTTCACATACAATATGAGCTTCTTCCAGCCCAGTCTTTTATTTTGTAGTCTCTTGATTATATTGGACAGGTCTACCAGTGTGACTGAGCTAAAGGGACCAGGTTAATAACTCATCCGCACATGGGATTACACTATGCATCAGTTACTTAACACAGCCCGCACTTACTTGTCGTGGTTCCCGCAGTCATCAGCGTTAAACTATAGCAGAGGTTGACTGATTATGTGCCGTTTGTAACAGGATTACTGAGGGATCTGTTGGTTATCTCCAGCTGTTTGCTTTAGCCTTAGCAGACTAAATCAAAGTTCAGCTGAGGGTCAAGCCCAACTCAGAGTACACCAGGTAATGCTGATGGCAACTCTCTGGCTCACGGTTGCAGACAATGGCCAGTGTATGGACTGCACAGTGAGCCTATTGATCCCACTATCTCCACTTTTTAAGTGACAAATTCTCCAGTTTTTCTTCCTGGTACTCTCCATTATTCCTCAAAGAAACCCACCACTACTCCAGCCAAAAGAGTATTTGTCCTTGTGTTAATGGAAGGATGTGCTGTTTGTCGAAAACAAGCATCTTGCAAGCAATGTTACATACAATTAAAACAACTCTGCAGTCCCTTAAACATGAAGCTACAGTGTGGTTAGTGGACGAGTGAAGGACCTTTCCTCTGTTTGACCTTGGTGGCCCATTCCTGACCTCGGGCCACGCTCCAGCCTCAGGATTGATACAGGCCGCACAGATGGAGCTAATTAATAATAAGAGCAAGTATCAAATGTAACAGAATGACTCTGCTATGCTAACCACGCGGGCAGATACTGGTGTCAGCGAGCATACAGAATAGGCTAGATTCGAGGCCCCGGGGTCATTTCATCAGGGCGTGTAAACACTGAATGAATGACACCATCGTCCCTCTCTGTTCTCACTGCTCTTGTTTAGGTCACACTCACAAGTGGAAATATCAACAGAAAAAGGAACAACATACACATATTCACCAATCTGTTTTATTTAAGGCTGAGACTTTATTATAATGTGCTTTTTTTTTTGTCTGACAGTGTAAATAGACTCAGTAAAGCCCAAAAGAATGGTTCCAGGTGTCTGAATTCAATAATGTTAACTCTTGCTGCACACTGCCTCCACGAGGGCGGTTTCAGAAAAAAACATTAAGGCACAGGAGAAAATAATATGAGAGCGGCTGTAAGAGAAAATGATTTTTTCTCTCCACAAAGCTTGAGGTAAATTGTCTGGTTTATGGAGGTTTTTATGACAAAATTGTATGAACATTTGTTACACTCCAGGGTCTACATATTTTGCTCCTGTTTTATTAACAAATGTACAAGCACCATCATGGATAAAAACATTTGGGAAGTCAAATACAGTAAAATTGTCATTAAACAAAACCTGTAATTATTTATTGCAGAGTAATAAAAACTGAACCAATACGCACTGCATTAAAATAATATACATAGTGCTAAGACTAGTGTGTCTTCAGAGGATTCAGTATGTTCCAAATGAAAAAATATTCATGTTAACAATTATGTACAAGAACTCCCCAAAGCAAAAACGTAATTTTAATATCAAAAACATATTTATTCTTCTTTGTGGAAAACCGTAAAGGGTGTTTTGTATGAAGAGACAATTCCCACGAACAAGCCTTCTTCTGTTCCACAGTTTTGTTACGTACGTCTGTTGGGTGTCTGGTGTGTGTGGTTGTGTGTGTTTTACAGTTTGAGCTTGGCCTCTTTGGCCTCCATGGCTTTGGTGGCGACCTGGGCGCGCTCTGACAGCATCGCTGCTTGCTCAGCTGGTCCCTGTGACTGGGCATTCTTCAGCAGGAAGTGACTGATGAAAAGCTTCAAGCCCTCCCGCAGCATTCCTAGCTTGGGAATTCCTGAAATCCTGGCGAATGGGAAACAATGAGAGACATTGATTTCAGATGTTCACAGGGTGCGAAGCAGTAAAGAGGAGTGGTGTTACAAGATGTTGGCTAATAGAGGTTAACATTGCTGAAATGTTTACAATAGACTTTTTAGCCATGCTATGCTAGCTGTGTGGCTCCATGGATGGCAATTTTGGTCTCTCCTCCACTTTAGGCCAAACTGAAATATCTGAACAACTATTGGATGGATAGCCATGAAATGTTGTACAGACATTCATATTCCCAAAAGGATGAAGTGTATTTACTTTGGTGATTCCCCGAATTTTCATCTATCACTGGGTGAAAATCTAAATGTCTCCAAATCTGTGGTTTGTAACCAAATATGTGGAAACCAAATGACAATCCCATAAACCTCAGCTGTTTAGTTGTGTTTATTGATAATTAGCAAATATGAGCATGCTAGCATAGTCTTTGCAAGCATGATAGTATGCTAATGTTCAAATCGCTGCTGTGCCTAAACAGCCTGGACACACTGTGACGGCTGCTTCACTGAACTGCTGCTTCCAGTCCTATCTCTCGACACTGAGTTTGCCTTTGATAAAACAATACAATCAAAGCTTCGTTAAATGAATGGATGAATGTACACAGAAATGGTAGAGAGCTACAGAACAGATACAGCAGGTGTTGAGTTAAAATATGAAATTATTTTTTAATGTCTGTGACATATACAGATATAGACATTGAAACTGTAATGAAAGGCGTATGTGTTACTGGTATAATGTTGATATGACTATGAACAGATCATTAACATAGTCTATTTTTGCTAAAACTGCCAGAGGATCTGGGACACACGCACTGCTCACGTGGGCACACTGCTCCAAACCTCTTAGAAGTAACTGTACGAACAATGAAGCTCACCTTCCAAATATGCTGGCTAGGTCCTCAGGCTCTGTTTCCTTTAGCAGTTTGGTCAGCACCTGACGCAAGAAGCGCACTGTGGGCTTATCTAGTTCCCCAAACTCTATTACCTATACAGAAAAACACAGACATAATATTTTTAAAGGTTTTATTCAACTTATAACATCAAATATATAAATGGTGTTTAGTGAAAGCTTCTACCTACACACAACATGTCACTTACTTTGAGTATGGAGAGTGAGAGGCACTTCTTCTGAAGGAAGCGGGTAACCAGCTGGACCAGGTTGTTAAAGGTGCTGCTGGGAAGGCTGGACAGCTCCCTGAACTTGTCCCATAGGTTGAACTGGAAAGTCATCTGGGAGACCATGGGACAGCAAATTGAATGATTGTACAACTGCACAGAATAATACACCTATGATTCCCCCCAAACAGTAAACTATAAACAACAGTAACTGGCACAGGTTATCCTCTCATCCAGATCCAGTTTACATGTGAAAAGCAAACATTCCCACCAGCTCTGCTTTGAGCTCTTTGATGAGGACAATGGTTCATCAGTTTCTGATATGGGGCCCGTGGCCTACATGGCAGCAAAGTAGGAAGTGTGGTCTCACCCCCATTGTTTGTAGTCACAGTTTGGGTCAAATAATTTCAGAGGTGAGAGGTGTGAGAGGCTCCCACACTGCAGAGGTGAACTACAGGCCAAGTCACACACAGTTTAAGAGACTGGGTGGTCACACACACATCGAGCAGGTAACTCTTCTCATATCCTCATGATTAAATGTATAGTAAGTCCGCCTCTTAACTGCAATTCTTGATTTCTGTACAGTATGATTTCCATCCATATGATCTATTTTCAAATAAGGACCATGTACAGAGAGTACTATGGTTTCAAATGGGACCTTTATCATTTACTGAATGTGCAACATTAGTATATGCAAGATTTACTTTCCTTATTGTGATTATAATTGATTTGTGCGTCGACAGATGTATAGGTAGAAAACACGATAAATATTATCAGTTATTCGCTTACCTGCTGCAATAACTTACTAGAGGTGAAACAATAAGTCAATTAATCAGTGGCCAGAAAAATAAATTCGTATAAAGTGTTTATATGATTGATTATTTGTTTGATTATTTGTTGAAGTCATTTTTCAAGCAAAAATGCCTAACGTACCCTGGGGCCTGCTACTAACTTGGAAGGATTGGCTGCTTTTGTGACTGTATCTGAATATCTTTAGGTTGTGGAGTGTTGGTCAGACAAAACAAAAAAAATGTAATAGCATCATCTTTGGCCTCAGGCTTTAGTATTTCGTATTTTTCAAATTTTTTCTTATTTTTATAGAAATATATATATATTTATATATATATATATATATATATATATATATATATGTACTGATCATGCAAA